TGCTGAACCCCAAATTATTGAATATACTGAATATATTCGGTATACTGAATGATTACACAGGAGAAGTAACACTACATGTTTGCTCTATTGTCTTATTTTTTGCCAGGCATTCACCGGTAGCCACTGGTAGAAAAAATATATTGCATGAGATAGACTCTGGTCTGAGCAGCTGTCTTTTGTTTTCACTCTCTATTGCAGGATTTTGCTTCTCTACTGAAAACTAGCTCAGGAGTACTTCTGCCATGTTGCTCAAGTACTGCACATAAATCTTTTCATAGCCCATAATAAATACCAAGGGCATACTGAATTTCCACAAAACCACAAGTACCAAACTTTTAAAACCAGTATGAGTCAAACTAAATAAAATTCCACTCGTTACACTAATGGAGTTCCAAAGACCCCCCAAAGCCCAGAAACGTTGGCACAGTGTACAATTTATGTAACGACTTTGTGGAAAACCCTTAGAAGTGCTCGAGTAATGCTCTGTTTTTCCTCTACCACAGGAATGATCCACAAAAAATATAAAATCAGTTCTCAATTCAATGAATTTTCACCCAGACAAAACAAAGAAGAGGAGATGCCCGTAACTTAGCTTCCTTTACTCTCCTGGGAAGCTTTATACTATCAGCACATCTTAAAAGAGGAACAACAAACAGTCCCCATTTGCCTAAGGATTTAGATTAAAAGCTACAGCCGAACAGTAAATGAAGAGCCACCCATATGTGGAAGTGGAAATCACTTGTTTCAAAGTGCTCTCACTTTTTTTCCACTTCTCTAGCAAATATTTTTCATAAAAAATACAGATATTTTTCAAAAAAAGCTGAATTGGAGAATCACAAATAAGGTGGTGTCATATCCAAAACCCATGGTTTTAGGGCTATAAAAATACTTTTCAATATTAGTCTTAAGTTTAGTCACAGTAGCATCCTAATATTTCCTAAGACAGATAAAATAACACAGCTTAGCTCCACTTGGTTTCAAAAGTAAATATTTTCACAGCAGTTCAATTATAATGCAGCACTTCTGAGAACTCTGCTGTTAGAGAAAGCTGTTTCTTCCTGGGAAGGGCATGTAACTGTTAAAATATTCTACACCATCAGAATATGAAGATACTTACCCTTTTCCAAAACTTACACATGATGTCAAGACAATGTATTCCACAAAATCCCAAAGCTTGAAACAAATTTCACAGGGAAAAATACAGTCACTGGACTAACTTCTTGTTAGTTAGGCACAGCATTAGACTGAGAGTGATCGTACCTTCAAATGCAGTATATGGAAGGGGTGGCTGAGGTAGGAAGGATCAAACTGGACTAGAATCTACTAACGAACTATTAATCTACTACAGCCTTTTAAGAAAATAAATTCTGGAGACATTGTGTCAAAGATAGTTTAATGTCAGTACCTTACAAAACAACATTAAAAATGTTTCATAATCTCAACATAAGCATTGATCCCATTAACATTTTTTATTCAACGACATTTACTCATTTTGATTTCACTATTTTTCTAGAGAATGTCAATACTGAGATGCGTTTACAAAAATTTCTCAGACCACCCATTAGGATAGCATTTAAGTAATAATGCTGTATGAGTCCCTGTCCCTTCTTTTGCCAGTGCGACCACTAATAGTTGAAAGAGTAATGCAATGTTTTGGAAAAATAAATTGCAAGATTGGTTTGTGTATTTTAAGGAAACTCGAGAAGTATTAACATACATTGTCTTTTCCAAAAAGAACTCAGACTTCCATGACACTTTCTCTACTATTCCACCTGGCTTCTTGGCTTATTACACTGTCCCCTTTTTGGAGATCACAGATGTGATTTTTTAGGAGGGAAAACCACAAACCTCCTCCTATGAGGAGAAGCTTAGGCTGTGATCCTGCAAATATATATATACACTCCACACTGCAACAAAATATATTCGCCTCCTTGAGAACCTTTGAGTTAGATGACTAACGTAACATAGTCTTGTAGGCAGATACAGAATCTTTTGTGTATTGCACAGTATAAACAAGTAAAAAATGTTTTACAGGTATTTTCAAATTCTTAATTTTGTCTAATTCTTAATTATGTCTAATTACCAAATGTGATAGTCAAAAGTTATCCCGAAACAGATGCATTCTTACTCTAATGGAATCTAGGCCAGATTCTAAGACTTGTGCTTGTCTTTTTGCATATAACACTTCGCTGACACCAAAATAAACAGTCAACCTTAAGGCCTTTGAAAAAGCCCAGGCCACCATTTACCCAGGCCTGCATTTCCACTTACTTCCCATCTGACCCAAGTAAATTTGGCAAATTTTCCTTTCTTTAATTTATGCTGAGTACTCAAACATTTTACCAATATATGAATAAAAGAAAAGCAGAGGGAATGAATATGGAGTGATACCAAATTTAAAAATATGTATCTTTGATAATTTACTGACACTCCTTTCATATAAGGCACATTAACAAACAAGCTATCCTGCAACTACAATTGATGTATTACCTTAAGAAATATGATTCAAAGGCAAATATTACAATGTATTATTCATGCTGTCAGCATGACATTATAATTTAATTAAGAGGCAAACACATTTTGCCTCCTCAGCAATTATTTTTTTTAAAACTATGTCATACGTGATAAAGATGACAGTGTAAATGCATGCATCAACAATATATATGATTTCTCCCACAAAAGCTTCCCAAATCTAAACACTTTCTTCAGTCTTTTTCAAGAAATTGGCACTTTAAAGTATATGCATAAGAATATATTCTGACTGATAAAAATCTATGTGCCATAGCTCCAAAGTTTCCTGAATAGGCTTAAAATGTGTTTCCAGTAGCCTATGCTACTTCAGTGTTAAATAATGAGGTAGCACATTGTTCCAAAATTGTTCTGAATTATGTAAACCATTTGCTACATGCTGTTTGGACTTCATTTTTTGTTTAGACCTATTTGGTAAAGCAGTCCTTTCTGTCTTCTCTGGCTTCCTGGTTTTGCTTTTCATTTGTGGAAGCTTATTACTATAATTTTTACTTTTACCTTTTGCTTTTTTCTCTTCCTCTTCTCCCTCATCATCTTCTTCCTCATCTCCTACATCTCCTTCCCCTTCTTCTCCCTCTTCCCCTTCTTGTTCCTCCTCCTCCTCCTCTTCCCCTTTTTCTTCTCCCTCCTCCCCTTCATCTTCCTCCTCTCCCTCTTCCACTTCTAGTTCTTCCTCTTCTCTCTCTTCTTCTTCCACTCCCTCTTCTCCTTCATCTGCAGTCTCTTCTCCCTCAACTCCTTCTTCTTCTTCCTCCCCTTCTCCCTCTTCTTCTTCCTCCCCTTCTCCCTCTTCTTCTTCCTCCCCTTCTCCCTCATCTTCACCCTCCCCTTCTCCCTCTTCTTCTTCCTCCCCTTCTCCCTCTTCTTCTTCCTCCCCTTCTCCCTCTTCTTCTTCCATGTCTTCTCCTCCATCTTCATCCACCCCTTCTCCCTCATCTTCATCCACTCCTTCTCCTTCTTCATATTCTTCTTCTTGCCTTTCTTCTTCTTCATTTTCCCACTCCTCCTCTTCCTTGTTTTCATCTTCTTCCCCCTCCTCCTGTTCTGCTTCTGCCTCTGCTCCTTCCCCTTCCTCACCTTCTCTTTCTTCTTCCACTTCATCCTCCCTCTCTTCTCCTTCTTCTTCCACTCCATCCTCTCCCACCTCCTTAGTCCTCCTACTTGCATCTTCTTCTTCCTGTTCTTCAGATACCTCTTCTTCTTCCCTCTCTGCCAATGATTCTTCTAACTCCTCCTCTTCCTCCTTGTCTTTTTCATTCTCCCTTTCATTGTTTTCTTCTTCATTTTCATTCTCATACTCTCCTTCCTCTTCTGCCTCTACCTCTTTTTCTTCCTCCCCCTCTTTATCATCACCTCCTTCCTCACTCTCATCTCTTCCCTCACCTTTAACCTGTTCCTCCTTTTGTTTTTCAGTATTTTCCTCTTTTGCACAGTCCTCCTTCTCCATATCCTCCTTTTCTCCCTCACTCAGCATTTCTTCCTCCTCCATCAACCTCCCTTCCTCATCTTCTTGCTCTTTGCCATCTTCATGATTAATCTCTTCAATCTCTTCTGCACCCTCATTCTCACTGTCTCTTTCAGCCTGTGATTCCTCTCTTTCATTTTCTTCCTCATTATCTTTTTCCTCTTTGTCTTCACCTCTTCCTACTGAAACTTCACTATCGTTTTTAACCTCACTCTCTTCTTCCTTCCCCAGTTCCTCTTCACTGTCAACTGTTTCATCTAGTTTTTCTTTTTCACTTTCACAATTTTCACTGCCTTCTCTCTCCTGCTCTTGATCACACTCCTCCTCATTCTTAATTTCTAACTGCCTGTCTTCATCTGATTGAGCTTCAGAGGTTGTTTCTTCCTCATTCACGCTTTTTATATCAGTTTCTTCAACATATCCTTTCTCATTGTTTGTAGCTTGCATCTCCTCAATCTCACTGTCTTCTTTTTCTAAGTCCAAATCTTCCACTTTTTCTGCTGTTTTCACTGCTTTCTGGACCTCTCTGCCTGCATAGTAGTCCTCTTCTTTTCCCCTACTCCTACGTAAGTATTTTGCAAGATCATTACTACTTTCCTCAGTTGAAGATGATGATATAGTTACAGCTACTTGTTTCACAAATGGATCCTTTTCTTTTAAACCTCTTCGCTCTTTGTTACTTTCTTCCCCTTTGACACACATTGTTTCACATTTATCAGATTTTTCAACAACATCTTTTATTTTGTTTTGACTCTCTATTGCTTCTTGAATTCCTTGCCTCTTATCAGGATTGTATTTTTGTACAATTAATGAATCTGTCTGGGGCTGATCCCTGGATGCAGATGGAAGTACTTCTATTTTAAGGGATTGCTTAGATTTAACAGCTTTTGACTTTTTATTGGAAGAATCTGTTTTTTCAGTCAGAATTTGGTTTTCAGTGGGAAGATTGTAACTTACATCCTCTCTGACAAATTCAAGATTTTCCACATATTCTTTTTCCCTTTTCCCTAGTCTGCATTTGTCTCCAGTAATTTGCTGAACACCACTTTTCAAAGTACTAACACTTCGTGCACGCTCAGATTTACCTTTCATTGTATTTTTTTTGGCCGCAAGCTTCCCTACAAAGGCACTACTTTTTTCTAAATCTTGTCCCGGTGGCTCTGAAACTGATGACTGCTTTTGTAAAGAGCTAGAGTCTAATTTTGAGCCCTCCTTCATGAAATCAGAATCCTTGTTTTTCAACCCACCCTTACCATCTCTTTTCAGTTTCACATTTTTACTGTTCTTCTATTCCACGTGAGAAGCAGAAAATTAAAAAGAAAGAAGGAAAGCATTAAGGACACATGACAGCAAAAGAAAAAGGTTACAAAAACATCTGAACAAGAAAAGAAACAATTCATGCAAGAGGACTAAAAGCTGGCATAAAAGGTAGAGTATTTCACATGAAATGAATTTACAAGTGCACGTATCAGAAGAATGGAACATTCTGTTGATGGTAAATGTACACCCATGCCTGTTTCACTATCCAAGCACTCAAAGCGAATGCAGCAAGAACTGTGCAGCCAGTATCATGTCCCATAAGCCAGAGCACATGCAATGCGTGAGCCTCTGAAAACAGAAGGAAAGAACTACAGTTCTCTCACACCTTCCTCCACCTTTCCCCTTGGGGAATCTTCAGATGCAATCACTGTTACGCTCTCTCTAAGAAGTCTGAAAATCTGCTCTCTTTCTGCTTTAAGTTTTACACTTATTTAAAAAATTCTGCAGAATAATTTTTAAAATATAAAATAAAATATTATGAAATATACTAAAATGCTGAAATGCTGGGATCACTTTAGGAGTGACATAGAAAGAGAATACAAAAGTATTTTAATTTCATAATTAAAACCTGTATTATTGCTCCTTTAAATATACTCCATGGTGAGTATCTGTAAAGAAAATCTTTGCTTACATTGTGTCCCAAAATTCAATTAAAATACTTTAATATTTAAAAAAACCCTGTAGAAATGTACGTTATCAGCTCAAGTTACAAGGTGTATATCATAGACTCTTGTTCCTTAAACCGGTGAAGTATTATATATTGTCATCTCAAACTATGCTGGATATGAGAAGTTCTATGTGCCTGCACACATTCTCTCTGACTTCAGTCAGCTTCTTAGAATTTCAGCTCATGGATATTCAGAAAATTAGCAAGAGGAGGCCTATAAAATTTGTCTAGGTTTTTTAAAACTCAAAGCAAAACAATAAAGTACAAGGATAATGCAAGAATTATAGATCTTTTAAACATCGGTATAAGTGTACATATAAATACAGCATTAGGTACAGTACCTTCTGTTTTTGCAGCGGTGATAATTTTAAGGACTGGTCACTGGGATTCAATTTCATTGCATGTGTCTGCAAAAAATAACATCTCTATTAAAAAAATAAATATAACTAAGAGGGAAAGCAGCATCAAAGCCTAATTCTTCTGAACAGAACGATTATATGAACATTTTAACATTATTGCACAGTGAGGCTGAGACAAATCTGTATGGTTACTCAACTCACCTGCTTCACTTCCACTCGCTCATTTACTGCTTGTAAAAAGAGAGAGTGGAAACCAGCTAAGATGCCAACATCTACACTGTCTGGAGAGGCTGAAAGCTACACGGCCTCTCTTACAGCCCGCCAGCACATTTTAGATCCACCTTCCACTCACTGAGAAGTTGTGGCTACAAATACACCACCTTACTCCTTTACCACCACAACCTCCGACTTGCCATCGAGTTTGATACCACAGCCTTGAAAGAACATGTTTGATGAAACCATACATAGCAGAAATTTTAATTGGAATCTAATGCCTTTATCCCTTCTACATACATCAAAAAGACAAAAGGCAAGGCAATGTAGAATACTATGAGCAAATATAGTGAGATTTTGGTCACCCCTTCCCATATACTCCAAATGGCAGGATAATGTTCTCTGCTGCTGTTTGTTAACTGTTTATGGTTTAACCACCATATTCTTTGTCAACACAGTGAGCATGGACAGTTCTGGTTTTTGACTCTCAAGAATTTGTACCACCAATATGATATTAAAGGGTTTTCCTTCCCTTGTTACACTTCTCAATAAGATGTATGTTGCCACAGTTTAGAAAAATTGAAACAACTATGCTGTAATAGGTTATTTTCATTCAGATTCAAGGAAAGCAATAATTTTAATTTGTATTTTACCAAGTTTACCTGACAGACTTTTTTCCAAGTTTACCGTTTCATTCTGATAAATGTTTTGAAGCTGATTCACAATGGGTACAAAACAAAGAGGAGAAGGAAGTCTAGCACAAAAAGTGTGCAATATGTTATAAATAATGCATCTGTAAACTATATAATTATAATGAAGGCCAAGTTGTGCAACATATCTGAAAACATTCTTTTTTCTTGTAAATGAAAAGAAAGTTTTATGATGGTTAAACAAATGGTATGCACAAACAGATTGTGAAATCTCTAAGTACTGATAAGTAAAAACACGTAATAATTCCTGTAAAATGTGCAATCCCTCCAGCATAACTGACAAGGTATCCCAAGCTGAGTCCACAGTGAGTTGCTCATTTGTTTCCATTCCACTGAAGTTAAGAAAAAAAAGACAAAAAACAACACTCCTTCCAGTGCACTGTGTTCAGGCCATATCTGCTGAAAGAACAAAATGTTTTGGAAAGGTGCACAAATGACAAGGTGAACATGTTTTTTAAATAAAAGAAATACGTAGCAACATGCTTGGGGATCACCAAATAATCAGAATGTCTGCATTTTGGTCTTCCCTTTAATATGATCCACCTGTACTGAAAAAGCTCTTCTAGGGACAGGAAAAGACAGCGCTCTCCTTCATTTCCTGCAGTTCTCTCTCTTGGAAATATCAAGATGAGGAAGGTCAGAGACAGAGATCACCATGTGGTATCCACTGTCCTTTTCTTTTTCTTTCTGATACCCAAAGCTAAAACACGTGGAGGGGCTGCACTACTTGAACAGCTTCAATCTCCTATTACAATATTGCTTGTAAAATGAAAACAAACTTTAGCACTGGAAAACGATGACATGACATTTCATGCTCCTTTAACAGTATGTCAGTACTTCTTGATGCCATGTACGATGTTCTGGACTAGCCAGGAGTTCTGTACTAGAATTTGAAACATTATTTAGCTGCTTTTTATTTCCCCTGCATAAAAATGATTGAATCAGATTCGTTAGTGGAATATATTACCATATTTAGGATGTCAGTTGTATCTCCAAGGTTTCTGTCACTATTTTCATTATCTGAATCATCTTCTGCAGAGCCTTCACCAGGTTTCTCTTTTTGATGATTCTTTTCTTTAAGGTAAAATAGGGAGAAGTAAACAAATACCATAGCAACAAACCATTTATAGCAAACAGAACGCCCCACTCTTGTAAAACAGAAATTATCTAATATTCCCTATTTCCCCAGCCTAAGACACAGCAGAAACACTTCCCCCTCCTTTTCATCAGTATTAACATTAATACTCAGCAATACAGCAATACAACAATCTGGCCTCAGCGCAGTCTAGATCTCTGACCATTTTTGCAGCATAAATAATACATAGGACAAAGCTTCTTTTGGTTAATCTCTTTAATAGCAGTGTACCAATTAGACTAAATTAGCTGCAGTCATATTATCTACACTGCACATTATCTGTGTAATGGATGGACAGACAGTGAGTTTAACTCTATTGCAGCATCATAAAAATATATCCATATAAGATTTTCAGGTTTACCTCAAGTTCATCAGATACAAGACCAGTTTCATCTGGCACAAAAGCTGAGGTATTAGGCCTCAGAAGGTTCTAAAGGCTTTTCAAATTTCACTGCACTGCCTTCTGGAACCAGAAATACTAATGGACATCCTGGCAGCTTTACAAATCATCACCTTAATTCTAACTGAATTAATTGTTTTCAAATTGGATTTGACTGTCCAATAAATCTGAGCTAATTTTTCCACAGAAGCACTGCATTCTGCACTCTTCAGCACTGCTCTTCCCAGGAAATCACACATGCTCAGGAACCCAGATGTAGTTCAGCACTGCTCTAGAGAATCTACGCAAAAGTCCAGCACTGAATCAGTATCACTGTTATCCAGGCTTTTGTATTAGCTAGAGTACTGCATATCATTAGTTATGCGAGGCGTACTTCTGTGTTTTCAAGTGAAGAAGAAATCTCCTCTAAGAATCAGTAGATCTCCTTTCTTATCCAAGGTCTCTCCTTTGTCTTTCCTAATTTTTTTTTTCCAGAAATTCTTTATTTTTTGTGTGGAAATGGAGAAAGTGGTTACTAATCTTACAGTATTTTTGTAAAATCATATTTATACAGCCTTGAAGAACCTCAGGTACAACTCAGAAGTTTTTCTTTCACTTAACCCTCCTCAAAATCTTTAAGCACATTTTCCAAACATGAATCAAAATTTTCTTCGTGTATGCATTTCTCAATTTTCATGTCGGTATTCTGCCAGACCCTCTTGAGGTAAGACTGAACTTAAACCTCCTTTCATGTTCAAACTCAACATTTGTTTATGAATGATGAGAGCCAAACTATGTAATTCTCAGAAAACAGGAACAAGATGTGAGGACACTTCACCTTTTCCATGGTGTCTATCCTTCACAGGTTCAGCTTTAGGAAGACTTGTTGCAGAAAAACAGAGTGGGCTAGTGTTGCTAGTCACAGGCAATGAAGATTTTAAGAGGCTTTGACCCAGTGGAGGCAGAGTTTGTGCCATTCGAACAAACTGTTCTGGTGATTTTTCCTTCAGAAGATTAAAAAAAATATTGAGAATAAGAGCAGAAGAATAAAATGTAAGCAACCTCATGCTTAACAGTGGTATTTTCCTCTCGTTGGTGATACAGCACTGTAATTTTGTATGACAAGCACAAAAGAAAATGTCTTGAATATTTTCATTATTTATAAAAATTTCAGAGATGTAGTGGGACATTTTAGGTCATTTCTACACAATACTCTCATGTAGTCCTAAAGTATAGACAAAGGTTAAAAGAATCTTTGATTTTTATTTAAAATGAAAACACTAGTTTCTCAATCCACACTGAGTTAACTTAATCCACAGTTTCAATATATTTTTAAAAAAATCAGTGTGGTTTTGTGATTGAGTTAGTTTTCAGAGAGGTGAGTGAACTGATCCAACTCACTGTGCTGCTAAAGAAACAACAAGGAATGTGTAGTGGAGATAAAGGAGAAGAAACTACTATTTTACGTACAGGATCTTAGGACTGTCTTAAGCTGATTGTGAAACTTTGACTTTGATACTTTTATAAACTATGAACTTCTTAAATCTGTTCAAGGACTCAAAGGGAACACCAAAAAGAGTCAGGTTCTTGGTCTTTTTTTTTTTTAATTTCTAAGATATTTTTAAAAATGCAAAGGAACAGGTTCTACATTTTAGAGTAAAAGGAACTACAAAACCACTTTGAGTCTTTTTCATACAAACAAGTAAAATCTGACCAATAACTCACTTTTACATGCATCCATTTTGGGACCAGGGAAGGTAACTCACTCTTCTTTTTACACATTTAAATTAAACAAGTTTTTTTAAGGAGATACGTTTAAATTAAACATGTATTTTAAGGAGATATATTTATCTGCTTGGCATATGCTGTGATTTTAGCTTGAAAAGTTATTTTGTTTCCTAAAACCAGTATGACAACTGTAAACACCTCTGAATTTACCCTTTCTCGACGTCGCATTCGTGCTGATGTTAGTTGTAAGGTGTTCATTAGTAGTGAGTCTTCACCCATTTTAGAGATAGTAGCAGTCAAACAGCTCTCATGTAAATCTTCTAGGAGCATTTCTTCAGATCCTTTAGGTCTCGGAGCAGCAAAAACTAGCATGTGACAACCACCACAAGCAACCTACAGTGCCAAAAAAGGTCTGCTGATTTCATTTGCAAGTATCAGTACAAGGATCTTATTTTCTTACAATCATCTCTAGGGACTTGGATTATAAGAAAAACATATAATAAAACTAATAGATGTTAATTTGCTTCAACTTTAGTTCCTAATGATGTTAGCAAGATAAAAGTACATAACTAGAGTAAGTAATGACTAGCGATCTACGTTCGTTACTTCTTCCTCAAATACAACATATTTACATTGACCGGAACACAAGATAGGTCTATCAAATTATTGGGACACAAGAAAGCAAAGCTATTTCCACTGATTTTGAAGGGATTTGAGCTAATTATTTTGATGAAAGTCAAATGTAGGCAATACTGGTAACTTCAGTGATACAAACCTAGATACCTGAACACAAAATCCACAAAATGTAATGCAAAGTCCTACACCCTCCAAAAGACACAGTATAGTTACATAAAAATCAGACACTTCACTTTCTAAAAAACTTAAATCCCTTACAATTTCTGATAAGAATTCCTTAAACTCTAAGTCCAGTAAACAAAGACAAGTGAGCCACAGACTTTTGTCCCAGATTTTGCTCAATCCCGAGGCATGTTTGCTTTTTTGATGCTAGCAGTTCTGTGATATTTACTTCTTAAACAACTCAGGAAATAGATGAAAACAATGCCCTTAAAATAGTACTTCTCCTTTCTCATCCTATTTGGATTCAAAAAACAACTCCTTAAATTTTCTTAAGATTTAATAAATGTCCCACTGTACAAATAACTGTTAAAATTAAAAAGATGTCACTCTGGTGTTTTTGGAACAGATATTATTCTTCCCTACTGTCAACAATTTAAGAGCAGCAAATATTTAATTTTATAGGCTACTGTCAACTCGATAGACCAAAACACTGTAGCACAACACTGCTGAGTAAAACCCTAAAAAGCAGTCTGTATGTGCAGTCCAAGCCAAGTACATTCTAAACTAAATGAACAGTGTGAAATAAAATTTCTTTCTTCTTTCAATTTGTGTTGTCTACTAATAAAATATTGTAGGAAAAAAAAGTCTATAACAAGATTTCAACTCTCTTTAATAACGTGTTTCATGAAAATATAAACATTTTGATGTCTGAGAACCATGAACAGTTTTACCAAAAGGACTGTGAACCTCAAGAAATTATAACACAGAGTGGGATCAAAATGATTTGTAAAACTCTCTTCTCCAAGTCCTAGCTTGCCATGTCGTCCATCTCCAAAAGTAAACATGAGGCCATTCTCTGTATATATGGAAAAAAAGGGATGTTATTAGTAACAAAGATTCAGCACAAAACTATGACAAAACAATTACAAACAAACAGGCCATGCAAGTAAGGAATATTTCTCTTCCAAAAGCAAAACCTGAACAATTCTTTTCAGATTTTCAAAAGATGAATAAGATCCAAAAATGTGGGTTTTTTTCAGACAAAGTACTGTCGGAGATTACAGTTAGTCTAGACAATCTTGGGAAAAAAACCCCAAACCAAAACTCTAAGATTGAAACTGTATAGCAAACCAAAGGCTTCTAAACAAGAATACTTGTTAGCAAGGCATGATTATGAGGTTATAATTCCCCAGGAGATATCATGCACAAAACTATGCATGGCATGGCTGTGAATCAGAAATTTCTAATATCAAATCTGGCTTTTTCACTAGCTCACTTAAGCTTTAGAATCAGTACGTATATATATGTCTTCTTCTACTGCTCACTTTATAAAGAAAGCTTCTACAGTGTAATAGAGTCACTGGAAGTGCATTTCAGAATTTTTCACTTACATACCTGCTATTACAGCAGTATGATTTTCCCCACATGTAATGTTACATATTTTATGCCTCCTCAGGTGTTTCACAGACTTTGGTACTGAAGTTTCAAAAACAAAAGTACCATGTCCCAGCTGCCCATGTTGTCCAAGTCCAAAAGTATATACATCTGTCTCTGAAAATGTACAGGCAAAGTTAGGACCAATTATACTGATATATACATTATAACCTACTTTCTGTTAGCCAAGTGAAAGTCAAATGACATCAGCCTCAAAAGAGCAATGTTTTACCAACTAAAAAACTTACCAACTAATCAATTAAATATATCAATTAAGAAACAAATAAACCAAAATAAAACACAGGCAATGAAGCACTAAAATATAAACAGAAAAGAATTTTGAATGACTGAATATGCAGTATATTTTCTAGCAAAACTACAAAATAATCCACTGATCACATGTAGACAAAATATCAGCTAACAAAATATACATGGGAGTTTACACACTGCAATTAATTTGAGACTACAGTGTTTACATATATATGCATTTTCAATTAGAACAGTCTCACCCTAATTTTTGGATACTTGCACCTACAGACTAAACCCCTTTCAACCAATAGTACTTTGTGTGTAAGAAAAGGCTGTAACAATAACAATAGGTTTCATTCTGTACAGCTACTAAATCGGCCCTGCATTATATGCAGAGAACACTATAATTGTGTTATCTTGTGACAGAATAATCATCTTTCCACATTTATATTTTGTCCATTTAATGGACTGTCTGTGCCAGGAAAAAGTATGAGAGCTTCTCCAAAGCAATAAAGATTCTTGGTGTGTCCATCTCTGGCACTCCACCACAACAGGGGAAGACTGTGAAGCTTGGAAATCTTGATGAGATCATGCTTGAAAAAGGAAATGCAAAGGTTTTTTTTGGGAAAAGGAGAAGTTTTCCTGGAATTTTATTCCCTGTCCCTTTTTCTTCTGCACATAGGCAACAAAGTAAAAGCTGGAGACGTACTAATTAAAATGTATTATGAAAAACGGGAACTTGGGAACCGGGACTTGGGAGCAATGTATCATTACATCATTGTCACAGGCACCGTGCAGAGCATCTCTGCTCCTGCTGCACAGGCGCCATCAGGTCAAAAATCTCAACACCTCCAAAAGCAAGAGAGGAATGGGTACCCACAGCTGAATGCGTGGAACAACAAATGATGGAGAATCTTTGCTTTTTGAGCACTTCTTTGTGTCACGGGAGCCAGATCGCGACCAAATTCTCAGAGTAGCCACAGACTGGAAAAATATTAAAACCAAATTATGTTACTGTTTCCCCAAACTAATTCTTCACTCCTATCAGGGAAAGTGAAAGCAGAGAACATACCAGGTTCCGAATTACTACCATAGTACGCTTACCAACTTCTACTGAACGTTCTGATTCAAAGGAACCATGATGAAATACTGTAACACTACGCATGGAAATGTTCTTTCTGCCCTTTCTACTCCTTTAAATTGTTCCATATTTAGATGTCGTGAATTCACACCATTAAAAAAAAAAGTCTCACACTTCTTCAGACTGTAGGTGAAAAATATTCAGTAAAGCTGTTTTTTTACTAAACCTAACAGTGAAGCTCCCTCTGCTGGAAAACTCAGTGCCAGAAAGCACCACTTTAAAAAGTAAAAGAAGTAAGAATTTTTCTGTAACATTTAGACTTTCTGTGTAAGAATCAAGAAACTACTCCTGAAAGTGTAGTGGTTTAACCTTGTCTAGCAAGGAAGTACCAGCCAGCCATGTGCTCACCTCCCCCACCCCTCCAGTGGAGGAAGAGAATCGGAGGAAAAGACAAGGAAACTTGTCAATTGAGATAAGAACAATTTAATAATTGTATATAAATGAATAAAACACCGATACTAATAATATTAACAATACTACTAATAATAAGTAATTAAAATAATAGAAAATAAAGTAAATGGTACGATCGCTCAACACCTGCCAACCGATACACAGCCAGGTCGGGAGTCAGAGCTCGAGAGGGATCGCAGCAGAGTCTGAGCAAGTCCCACGAGCGACAGCACGACCAAGAAAACCAACCAACCCACTAACTAACTAACTAACAACAAGTCTCATTTAGTCAATGGCTTATTCCATAAATTCTGTTTAGAAGTACTGCATTTGTCTTAACACTTCTTTGGAAGAATCTTATAATTTTCAAACTATATGGCTTTATCTGATTCAGGTAAGTATTTTGAGTGAAGTTGGAGGTTTTTCATATTACCTTTAATCCTAGCTTGAAACATGCACTGCCTTTTTCCTAAACAAGTTAGACCTCTAAAGGTGTTTGTGCTTAGAGGGAGATGTTCTCAAATTGTAACTTTAAAAGTACAGGAAATTATTTTTTTTCCCAATTTCTAGTGAAAATGAGGAGAATGGTGAAATCCAAAACCAAGTTAGAGTGCCTTTATAAGAAGAATGATTTTTCCTACAGCCCCTATAGACCAGGGACACCTAAATTTTCCTCCTCCTAAAATTCACTGGTTAGTCAACCATCAAGGCATAGGAAGACAAAAACCTTGTACCCTTCTCAAATGATACACTGCTCTGGTGCAGAAGTGAGGCCAAACCTAAGTAACAATCTAACTTAGAAATGTGGTATTTCCTCCAATCTGTCTTTATAAAAAGTACAGAAAGAGAAGTCTCTGGCAAAGCAACCTCACAGGCCTAGTGATAAAATGACAGAGGTGAATGTCATCATTCTGAGCTTGAATTTACAAATGAATCTGCTGACAGCACGAATCCAAGAGCGGATACAGCCCCACTGTCACCTTCTTGCTGTCTTCAGTCCCAGTAAGGACATGGTTGGATGAGACAAATGAAACGTAGCTCGCCCGTGCTATCTCTTCAGTCCCCACTTGCACTGTCTCTGCTGTCCACCTGGCTATGTGGTGAGCCAGCTCAGTGCAGCAAGCCAGGTTTGGGGAGGGGGGTTGCTGATAAAGATTCCTGTGTAATGGTCAAGGCAGCACCAGAGGGGTACAAGGGGAGAGGAAAGACATGAGACCACAGCAGCATGGGGGAAGCAGCACTGTTTCCTCTTCACTTTGTGCTTTTTCTTTTTGGGATTGACAGGCATATTTCCCTGTAACGGTCTATCTTCCACCTATGCAAGCATCTTTTTGGAGTATGTAACAGCTATTTAACCTACAGGACTGTTGTCACTGTAAATAAAATAGTCCTAGGCAAAAATCTATATAGCTGTCAGATTATTTAACACATGCTATTTGCCGAAAGAAATGAGTGAGCTCTGAGCAAGTTTTTAAGATTCAGGCACTCCTTGTTACGTATTTAAGACTACACACCAAGTTAAAAATACACAGAAGAAAACTAGAAAGAGACAGGTATGTTTCTATCTTTTCACACAGACTCATTTCCCTTGAACATAATTAATAGTAGCAGTATCACTGCTACTACTACTACTATGTCAATGGGCTATTCACTCTTACTGTAGCTTTATTTTTAAACACTTTATGCTGAGAAATGTTAGCATAAAAATAAACTGTCAACACAATACTCAGTTTTACCAGAGCTAGTAATTGGATTTGGGGATTTCACTATAAATAGTATACAGAGTTAAGAATGGTTTGAAAAAAATCTAGACAAAATCCTATATGGTTTGAACAGTTAGTTTTGTCATGAAAAGGTAGAGTTATTTTATCCTTTTCATTCTCTGTCAAAAGGGTATCTTGACTTTCTTTTCTTTTTAGAAGACCTTGAGTCAGAAGATGAAAAATCCAACATTTCACATTCTAACGCACTGATGTGCTGTATTTTTATGTCAAACAATCTATTCTCAAAGGACTGCTTCACTTTCTCCTTTGAAGAGAGATCTTTGCTCTCCTTCCCTTGAGGGAATAAAAGGAGGTAATATATCCTTTCACAGAGAGGATTATTCCCAGAGGATCTGTCATCATCTGTAAAAATGGAAGATATTAAGGCCACTCTCAATCATGTTTCTTCTCCCATTTCTAGGTTCACAAGTTATTGTTATTCTACTTTTCTTAAAGCTTTATTGAAAAAGTATGCAAACTGGGATTTCTGGTGTCTCATGTTTCTTTTGGAGGTGATGATACCAACAGCTTTCATTTTCAATAGGAAACATTTGCAAGCATTCTGCGTAGTGGATGCATTTTTTTTTAGTCTCTGAGAGAAGTCATCTGGGATGAGGATATGATCTTCTTGAACTGGCTGATAGACTGTCATCATGAAATGAACAGGTTGGTGCTGCTACAGTGGGAGAAAGCTTTTGCATGATAGAATTTTTCTGTTCTGCTTACACTCCAGAACAACTGCAAATATTGAAGGCAGAAGTAACAATAAGACTTGTAAAGAAGATGGTTTCCAGTACCATACTCAACATTTCTAAAACTTTGTATCTTTAAATTAAAGGGGTTTTCCTACTCGTTGCTCTCAACAGTTTAGTTTTTTGTTCTCTGTGAAAAAAAATGAATTTCCCATTTTTGAGTTTCAGAAAAAAAAAAAGAACTCTTCTAATATATACTTTCTACTCTGATACATGCTGGAGAGATTCCAAACAGTAGCTTGATTTAATAACCCAGATAACAGTGGTTCTTACCATACAGAATTGCCAACAGAATACATAAGACACTCATAAAGAAGAAATCAAATGAAGTGCTTTGGAATGGACAAATTATGTATGAGAGTCAGGAAGAAACTCTGTAAGATAACTGGATTATGTTTTCTTCTAATTTGATAAACTCTAAGTAGAACTGATGACAAGAAATGAGCCAAGATGTGCAACAGCTTCTCCCTATGACATTTTCTCCTATCCATTCCTGTGTTAAATGATAGATGAAACAGGGGAATACACAATAGTCAAGACACTCCTTATTTTTTAAGACTGAAATGACACACCCTGAAAAACTGGAAAGACCCTGAAAAGATTAAAACCACATCAGGATATACTGTATTACTAAAGCCAAACAGCACCTGTTTTCACAGAAGACACATGAAACTCAGAATTTCTTCAAAATTGTACTACATTCTTAGTTTATGAAAATGAGCTTAAAAGAGGTATAAATGCTTTTGATCCTCTTTAAAGATATAACCCTCATCAGAATTCTCCATTTGTGGTCAAGCCACTTCATCTCAAGATGCAACACACACTACAGTGCTGATTTCAAGTTAAGTTTCTGGTGCAAGACCTACAATGCACCACACTACAATGCTACGCTCACTTTTAAAATGATTACAGTCTCCAAATCTATCTCTTTTCCCAATTTTTTCCCCAAGTATTTTTCCCAAATTTTGTTTTGAGTCAGAAAAATTTCTGCATGTCAACACTCCAGACAAAGTATCTTTCACTTGACACAGTATTTCCATTATCCTCTACTCTTCTTCTTCAAAGTGCTAGGCAGAACTTCATACCTGTTTAATAGCCTATTAATAATAGCTGAATTACATTTTTAAAAAATCTATCTGACCTTTCACTCTTATTGCAACAACTATTACCCTTTAGAAAAACTGGTTTTGTTGGAGGATATTGTTTTCCTCTTCTCTTGATTCAACTGGGTCTTCTGGCACTCAGTACTTTGATCATCAACTACCAGCTAAGCCAGCACTGATTTTCTTATTTGCCTTCTATTACAAAACCTATTTCCATAGACAAGTAAATCTTACATACTAAGACACTATTCTTCACTGTATTTGTATTTCAGCATTTATATTCTGCATCTTTGTCCTAGTTCTTGTACAGATTTCACTCAGGTGTACATCTTCCTACTAAATCTTTGTGACAGCCATTTGTTACAATGAAATTTTATCACATGAAATACCATTAAAACAAAATACCTATTGGTTGGCTTTAGATTTATGGTTAAAGAAGTAATCAATAATGCTAATCGAATTCTTTCTGCAGAACTTCACTTTATAACCCATAAAATAATGTTATGATTTATATATTTGCTGGCCCAAATTTTATGATGATTTTTTTCTAATAATGGTAATCTGATTTCATGTAAAGAAATTTATTTTATGACATAGAACACTGCCAGGGTAAGACTGTATGTTGGTGGAAGAAGAGAGACAAAGGCATTGAAATGTAGACAAATGTTTGCATTATTTCCTGGATTGGTTACTGTTATTTCCTCTTCATAGTTTTCCCAAAGGAGTTTTAACCTACTCAGAATCTTGCAGACTGACTCATCATTACACATAACCTTTCCCAGCACATCACTCCCACGCTACTCTCCCCACAGAATCACTAAGGTTGGAAAAGACCTATAGGATCATCTAGTCCAACCAGCAACCCAACACTACCATACCCACTAGACCATGTCCTCAAGCACCACGTCTACACATTCCTTGAACACCTCCAGGGATGGTGACTCTACCACTTCCCTGGGCAGCCTGTTCCAGTGCCTGACCACTCTTTCAGTGAAGAAGTTTTTCCTAATATCCAACCTAAATCTCCCCTGATGCAACTCCTCTTGTCCTATCACCAGTTACCTGGGAGAACAGACCAGCACCCACCTCCCTACAACCTCCTTTCAGGTAGCTGTAGAGAGTGATGAGGTCTCCCCTCAGCCTCCTATTCTCCAGGCTAAACAGCCCCAGCTTCCTCAGCCACTCCTCATAAGACTTTTCCTCCAGACCCTTCCCCAGCTTCAACGTCCTTCCCTGGATACACTCCAGCATGTCCTTCTTGGAGTGAGGGGCCCAAAACTGCACACAGTACTCAAGGTGCGGCCTCACCAGTGCCCAGTACAGGGGCACAATCACTTCCCTACTGCTTGCCACACTGTTCCTGATGCAGGCCAGGATGCCGTTGGCCTTCTTGGCCACCTGGGCACACTGCTGGCTTCGGCTGGCCATTGACCAACACCCCCAGGTCCTTTTCTGCCTGGTCCCCCAGGTCTTTTCTCCAGTGGCTTGCAGTACAATACCACATCATACTACTTACAATTTCAGTTAGATTTTCAATTTATATTTTAGAAATTTTGGTCACATAACCTTGAAGGTACTCTACCAAATTGACAAAAGATCACTTGAGCTTTTTCAAAATACAGATTTAAGGACTGATATCTATACATAATACTTGTTTTTATAGTTTCTGCATTTTGGTAGGAGATGAATTACAGGCATATTATACAGCTGTGTAATTCACTACAAGCCAAAGCTGGTATTTTTTAAATCATCTGTGGGCAAAGGCAAAGTCCCCTTTCCTGCTTCTATAGTACTACAGTTCAGGATAGAACTTGTGGAAATACACAGCTAGCAATGCTTTGCACGTACCTCTTTGAAAAGCCAATTTACCATTGGGACATAACTCTTTAACAGTACAGTAATATACACCACATTTCATCTTCCAAGTACCATACATACAACCCTGTGAACTAATACATAACAGTTGTGGTTAGTGATTTTTATAACTTGCAATATCTGTACTAGTTTTATACATATGTTAAAGATTCTGCTTAAAGTCATGGGTAAATTCTGTATCACAAAATAGGTATTTAATCCATTTAGGCATCCAGTAGATTGTGTATCTCCATCACTATTAATAGACAGCTACTTGAAAAGTGACTTCCTAAATTCTTTCCTAAATATTCAGGGCCATTTAAATTTACTACAGAATGGAATCTTTCCTCTAAATTTACACACACATACGCAGACCAATACCACTTTCAACCTTCTCAGAGGAAAGAAATATCAGTCATCTGTGTTGCCTGAGGAAGCGCAGGCTTGTTACAATACAGTAAGAAAGGCATTCAGACTCTGTAAAGTATCTCTTAAAATGCTACTTATTGGAGGTAACACTATAAAGAAAAAGAAGATAGTATCAATAATCCTGCATCCCATTCAGATGTTGGAAATCCTGAGCTGTGTGGAATTGAGCAGGCCTCCAGCCAGGCACAGCATGCTAAGCACATCCCATCTGTGGAAGGTTACCCCATTTTGTCATTTGAGCTCTTACAGGATTTTCTTACAATCAAAACAACTCTACCCATCATCTATACTGTCAAATATAAAGGACATTCACACAGGAACTTGCTGCTGAAGTTTTAGATAAAGGCCAGGACACGCAGGTGGTGTAACCACTAATAGCAAGTAGGAGCTGGCTGGAAGCCCCTCTGTTACAGCTACCAGGCAAACTGCATCCTGCAGCAAAGGGACACGCGCAGCACAGGCCTGAACATCACACCGTATGAGCAGCACAGGCCTGCACTTGGCTTAACTGTTACGTGGATTTCTACCTCCTTGATGTGCAATGGTCTTCCAGTTAGGATCACTACAGCATCTTACATTTCAGTGGGATGTAAATTCTTTAAAGTAAATTGAGTTTACAGATTAAGTTATAGGGCTGTAAAAAAAGCCAGTTAAATCGCATACCTGTCAGCACCACTGTGTGCTCTCCACCACAAGCGACCTTAATAACCTTTTCCATAATTCCCAGTACAGGCTGTGGGACTCTACTGTTCTTCAGCTGTTCAGGCAACAATCCGAGTTTCCCATTCTCGGGTTCTCCAAAAGTGTAGAGATCACCATCACCTGTGAAAATGCAGAACAGAGCAGGACTTCCAGCATACACCCAGAGAAGCAAGGCCGGGTTGTCACAACTGCTGCAGGCACACATCAGTCAGACAGAAAAGTACATGAACGTTACCGGATAATTGTACGTATTTGTATGATGTACAAACAGCTGTGCAAAGCAGTCTGCTTTGATGGGCCAAGAAGGGGCTAAATTTTAGCCCTTCTCCAAGATGAGAGCCACAAAATATCATGGGCAAGGAATCTAGCCAAGGGAGAAACAAAAACATACACATCTTGCTTCTGAAAAGTAATTATTCCCTCCACAATCACTATTGATATCAACTGAAGTTGCTTGTAAGAATCTTAATTAAAACAGAAAATCATTTTGCATGGAATTTTGATAGAAAATTCACCCTTTCTTCTTGTAAGACACAGAGGAAAAAAAAATTAAAAAGCAGAGTAAATTACATGAAATCATGTGTGGTCTGGAAAGCAAGAAGAGAGCTACATATCCAACAACAGGAATATAGCAGTGGTTCCACAGCAATAACTGAACCAGAATTAAGCTCAAAAAATACTGAGAGGTCTTTACAGTTCTCTTCCTGTAACTTCTTTCTGATCTGCTACATAATCACACACGTAGACCCTTCTCATTTGTCCAGACTTTTTAAGAATCCAGTTCAAAATTGCTCAATCCCAAATTTGCATAATTCATTTTACTTTCAAGTTTCCTTTGGTTTATATTTTTCAGTCACTCCCTTTGCTTTTTCATTGCTATGTAAGTCTGAATTACTATTCAAGACAGCATTTTATACATCCTTCTACTACAGTTAAAAATGTAAAATGGACTTTCCTGCCATATTTATGATTTATAAATTATCCATTTATCTACTTCTTTTCTGTTCATGTACATCTTTTTCTTTACAATTTATCTACATCTGCATTTCTGATTTTCCATGCTAAGAGGCCCCCAGCTATTCTAATACATCAGTGTGATGTTCAGGTAGAGAACATTTCCTTACTGCCAGGAAAGCTTCAAGTTAGTAGCAGACTGTACTTCACTCCTGAAGTAGTGTCCTCATAGCAAATTGTGTTTCACAATTTGAATTTGAAATTACTTACCCAAAAAATCATCATACACTGTTATATAAGAAAAAGTTTGTTTTTCAATCCCAGTTAGATATAACATAGCACAAGGATAAACAAAACTCTCAAATGGAGGAGCTAAGTCCAAGATAAAGAAATGTTGAAGCTAGCGTAGGAGCTGTCTGCTAAAAGACATTTGAAGATCGTTAGAGTTACATAATCAAGATAATAACAAACCCCAGGCCCATACTCTGTTATTAAAGCTCAGTCATCAGAAGCACCCAGCTACAATACCTTTGGAAACATGAAGATTTGTACTTCAGTACAAAATGTACTTTTACTTTCAGAAGGCCACACTCAGTGTTCACAAATTTACTTTTGCAGCATTTAGAGGCATCACTATTGCATGATGCACAATCTGAGAGATTCTTATTCAAAAGCAATTAATTCCTTGCCAATGTGAAGTTGGGTTAACCTTAAAAACACTGGTCTTTCCCCACAGACAATGAAAACAGATGAGCTCAAACAAAGTTTCAAAGCTGAAGCCTTATTTAGGTGTTCAGAACTGACCATTAGAGAAGTCCATCCCTCTCTTCACTGAACACAGGCAGAGCATAAGAAAACAAGCTTATTACTAGTTTTCTGTTAGCCTTTGAGCATAATCCCTCATTTGCATAGCAGCTACATTCGTTGCTTTTTCCCTGCACTTTCTCAGTCACAGCTTAAAATTTGGGAATGTAAGGACAAGGCAGTGACCAAAAACATAAGCCTACACAGAAACAGGAAAGATGGAAGAGCTAAAAGTAATTCCTGCTTTAAATGGAAAGTGGGTCCCAAACCCAGAACTTCCACCAAGGATTTAGAACCTAACTTTGATGGCAAAATATTTATCTGTAAAGCTTACAAGACGTAAGTAATTTAGCCTCTGCCTTAGTCCAAGAAACCCCAGACTATTTTATATGGTTTCTGCATTTTCCAAGATCACTTCTGCCTCTCAGAACAGCACAGATCCTTCAAATACCACACTCCTGGGCCACTAGGGCTAGAAACTGGATTTACAATCTTTACTGAATGCTCTAACTGCACAAAGAGGCAATCAGGGAATTACAGTAATACAATCTTACTCAATGTCAAGCTTCCTGCAGGGTTCCACAGGGATCAGGCTATTAAGAGTAGCCACCCACAATCTATTCACCGAGCTACATTGTCTTCAGCAAGTCAATGAAACAGGACAGCAGCTGTATTTCCCAACTACCATCGTCAGAGGAATACCCTCATCCTCCCAGCTGCCCTTATTTGTTCTATCATTCTGACGTTCTCTTTCCTGCACACACAAGCTACACCTGAATTATTATATAATTTCATTTACCTGCATGTATCTGTGCAGAAATACCTTTGTTGCATTCTTCTACACTTCTTTTCATACAGGTGTTTTGCAATCATTTCAATCTCTGTTTTTCAAGAAACAGCAAATGACCTCAGCTGCAGAAAAGTCTATTTCATTTCATTTCTAATCTATGGACTGTGTTTAGGCTTCTCTGTTCAGTTTCATTTTCTGGTTTAATTCTCATCTTTATTCTTACACCTACGTGCAGAAGTACTCTCAACAGGCTGATACTTTGCAGTTACTTGCAGTAGTATCAATTTTCTACTCTATAACAGTAGCCAAATTAACAACAAAAAAAGCAACACAACGTGATTTGCAGTAACCAAAACATTCCATTGACAAAAAGAGATTTTATGAGGGATTCTAAGCAAAAAGAAAAAAAAAACCCAACAAAAATAACACTGTATTTTTTTGGAAGGTAAGTATTGCGTTAATAGTCCTGGATCTGCAATATATTTCCAGAAACAAGCTGATAAACCCCCAAAATCTCTTCGGAGTTAACTGCTCATGCAGTTCTCCTTACTTATGCAGTTCCCTTTGAAGAGACCAGCACTTCTTTTTCAACACTACTGCACTTCAAATATTAATCCAATCACAATCTAATTAATAGGATTAGAGATTCAAATGGCCAAGCTTTCCCTGGCTTCCCAAACTAATCAAGTTTATTACATTTTTTCAACTTAATAATCCAGCTAACAAAGATAAACTCATTTATTAAAGCAATTTTTGAATACATTACGCATCCCTTTAAGGCAAATAGTAGTCTAAAAACTATGAAGAATAGCTATTAAGCATAAAAAGAATCCAGTCAAACCCAGATACATTTTGAGTACAGTCTGTGTGCATACATCTGCATTTTAAGGACATTTTGTTCACAATGGAACTTGGTTATGTCATTTTGTTCTCTCACAGGAGTCACGTTCTCACGTGTTGAACTTTCCCTAGTGTATCACTTCACTCAGGTCACAGGAGCATGTCAAGGGAATGGGCACGCAAATGAAAAAACACCTTTGTCCCCAAAAGGCAAATGCACATACTGCAGATGACAGAGCACATCAGACCTGGCTGGTGGCAAAAGAGGACAGTAGACAAAAGAATTGGATCACTCTATGATCCCTTAAGCAAATGAAAAAAAAAAACAAACCACCTAAGTATTTATCCAAGACCAAATTGGTTGAAACCACCTCAACTGCTGAAATTCTGATAATGGAAGTGTTTATCGAATGGATGATCTTTAAAAATGGTCCTTAAAAATAATGAACAAAGTACATTAGAAAAAGGATTGCAAGGAACCTGCAAAGCTCTCTACGAAAAAACATCTGAGTGAGAATCTGTCTTGACCTTGCTTATAGTAACAGTTCGGGCAGGGGAAAAAACAGAAGAGGTCTAGTATATTCAATCCCTTTCTGGCTCCACGAATGTAATTCTGCTGTTGACACCAGAGTAGTGGTTAGATACATTGGCTTTCCCTGCCCTCCATCTCCTCCAGCAGGCAAATGAGCTAGCTATACATGCTTGTCAAGCTTAATGCTTTACGAAAAACTGTGCCCTCCTGAGTGAGTGGAGTCAAAGACTAGTCAAGTAAAGATCTGTACGTAGACTCAAAACCATTGCTACGCTCTTTCAGCTCGCTCCTTATTGCTTTGTTTGAGACATACCTCTAATATGGGGACCTAACGTCCCAAGTCTGCAAAAAGAAAAGAAAGGAAACAGATACTGGGAAAAAGTCCTAAAGAGGGCTGGGAACTATAAATTAAAAACTTCTTTTCAGTGGGACTCTCTGAAGAATGCAAAGTGAGGGGAAAGGCAGCAATCATCTTTCAAACATGGAGTAACCAAACCAGCTTCCCAATTCACGTATGGACACGAGCTAGCCATTGCCTGTGCTAAATTTCAAGCAAGTCTAAATTTCAGTGTTTTTTATTAAATATAATTCAGGATATATTCTGTTCTTCTATTCAAGAACTACTTTTGGCATCAGCAGGGCTCACATGTACATGGTAGAGCACAGGTGACTGACATGTTTAGTAGTTGAATTATCATCTGAAAGAAGGCATTCTAGAAAGCGAAAGTAAGAAAGGTGACATATCTTTTTGGAATAATGAGATTTGAGAAAACTGGGAGGGGTGGGGAGGTGGGGATTGTAAAACTGAAGTACAAATTCAGGTGATTGAATGATGTACACTTCCCAATAAAACATGCTTCTATCGAATAAAGGTTTGTGTCAGGACTCCACTCTACTTTTCACTGACATTACACTTGGCTTTACAGTAGTTAAACACCTTAAAGACAAATGTCTACTAAAAATCTTTTATAAAACAATCTGTTTCAAAGAAATATCAACTTTTGTTTAAAAAAAAAAAAGCTGAAATCCATACTTTACCACTTCTTTCCTCAAGTCTCTTATAAATGAACATCCTGCCCTGGAGAGGGCACTCTGTGACCACACTATGTATTCTAATAGCCTCATTAACCACCTTTTAGTTTTAACCCCAGATGTGCCTGTGACTCAAACCATTTGATTGGCCAATATACACGTTATGTCAAACGTAAATGCGTTAAGAAAAGGAACCACATGATGCCACACTCATCAGTTCAGCCCAGCAGCAAGTATCAAGTCCTACATCCTGCAACTGTGATTTGTTATTACAGTTAGTATGTTATTTGATGCTTTCTTATGTACCAGTCACGTTTTAAAAGTCAAAATGTAGTAACGTGACAGTATTCTAATAACTGCTAAGTTACAGGTGCTGAAAGCTTTCTATTAACAGTGTCTCTCCCATTTCTTCCATAGTAACAGCAACTGCAATCTAAAAAAGTTCCTCTGGTACACTTCATTGATGTTGAGAGAATTAATACAGATTATACACTCACCTGAATACTTCAAATGCAATTTTTGGAAATACAGAACCATTTTCTTTTCCAGATATTTCCTCCAAAAGCATATATTAAATATAACACTAATCACTCTAAATCCTAGTATACAAAATAAAATCATAAAATAAAAATTAATGGAATACTCCCTACGCTAGGTAAGCTTTTAAGCATACTTCAAGGCATAATTCAATGACTACTTGTCAATTGGGGGAAAAAAAAATCCTATCCCTGTAATATAAATATTCCAAATACTCATAATTATCTAGTTTGCTACGTTTTGAGGATGTGAACCACTGTTCTGAGCCAGTCTAGCATGTCCTACAGGCAAGTGTTTTCCATAAGTGAAAAAGGAATCCTAATAATACTAAATGAATCACCTTTTTTTTAAGCCAAACCTTTTAACACCATAGTGCCTTGACTTCCTTCCTAATTAGGCTGTAAGAAAAATAAGGTATCTACAGTTGCACTCAGACAGACACAGCTTGGAGAACTTCCAAATTCATAACTTAATGGCTAACTTAATAGGTAAAATAATGTGTGACTACGGTACACTTAGATTAAATGCATAAGCTTTGTTTTGAAACATCATCTGGATATACGCTGACACTAGTGCAACAGAAGATCAATTCAGTCTGGACCCTAAATTTCTATGGTAGTTAAAGTATCAGTCAAATAAAACTGTCAGCAAGGACCCAAAGGAAAGTAATCACAAAAATATTTCTCCTTTCACCACAAAAGAGGCCATCTGTGTGTCAGTAGTTTCAGCGAGACAGACTGAAGCCCAATTTGTGCAGGATTTGCAGATACTAAGGCTGAAAATTAAGATTTTCCATCTCACACCCAGGCCTGTTTAAACAGTAACAGGTTCAACAACTCCCTATTTTCAGAGGTGATAACCAGTTCATCTTCTTATTAATTTTTTAAGAGGCTCCATTTCTTCTACACAGCTGCTACCCTCATCATTTTTTCTCAGCCCCCTCCATTAAAAGTTTCCACTTCCTTCGAGCACCCAGCACACATTGTTCTCTCCCTGCCCTTAGATACTTGTCCCCAACCCTTCTTTCTAATGAGAGCTTCTGTTACATCTCACTGCAGTCTTGTCAGAGCATCAGCTCTTGGCTCTAAGGAAGAAATAGACATCTTCTTACTATATACCTGAAGTAAGGGTCATCTTTTTTTTTTCTTTTCATTTATTTCGAGTTCAGGAAACGGTAGATTTCCTAATAGGAGCTGAGTTCCCGATTAGTCGGAGGCATTTCATTCATTTACTGTAATAAAGTACCTGTAATAACAGTTGCACACTACCAGCATAACACCTAATTAGTATTTGTCCACCATAGGAAGTCCTCATTCTGTTAACAGCATATTCTTGGAGAGCTATACAGATATTGTATGTGGAAAAGTAAAATTTATCAAGTAAGCCGAGGAAAAGTTCCTGATGGAATGGTTCCTGTGTACCCATTACAAGTTTTACAATCAAAACTATTGATCCTTGGAAATCTTTAATTACTCTGAGGGGACTAAACTGTAAAGCTTAATAAAGTAAATCTATATGGCTGAGAGGAATTCATGACTGCTCATATATAATGCCATCAGCGTTGACTGATAAATTCACCTGTATTGGCATTATTAAAAAATGAGTGGCATCATCACTTTGGAAACCAACAGAGAGGTGTGAAGCAACAGTGAGGTGGGATGGTTTAAAGATCAGACACCACCTCACTGTAGCATATGCTTCTCATATTGTATACTGCCTAACTGACTTCAAAACTTAAAATTTCAGACATAACACATTTGCACAACAATGTGCAAATTCAGAAAACTAAGTGCAGTTTTTTCTCCTGGTACTGTTAATTCAACAAGAATATATAATTATATAGTAGATTACATAGGAGTTTCCCAAATAAATCAATTAGCAACACATTTTAGAGAACCTGTCTCTGGTAAAATCTCCCAGTGTGACACAAAACTACATAGATGACTTTCTGCCACATGGCAGTTTTTAACAACTATGGCATATCTAGTTTCAAAAGGAAGGAGTGCTTCCTTAGCTACCTTTACAAAGACAACAACCCAAGAACCACGGACTTGTCTCCACTAACTGCTATTCCCACTCTCTTACCTGTTATCAAGGCAGAGTGATAATATCCACAGGAGACAGAGGAAACACGTTTTCCAACATCCACTTGCCACGGGATACTGACATAGGTTTCATTGGCCAAGCCAATCTGACCTTCTGAATTGTCACCCCACACAAAAAGCTGCCCATCCTCTAAAATGAACACACAGATAGTTAACTGATTTAAATCCAAAACTAATTAAAAGTTAATCTACCAATTTAGAAGTATTTCATAAACTCCCTTTATGATACTACTAAATGTCATGATCTCAGGGACATACAATGGTATTTAGCACAATGCAACAAAACAGTCTGAAGTAAGAGGGTACCCCTTAAGCCTTTCAGAAGCGACACAGAACATTTAGTGATCAAATACCAACAGGAAAAGTACTATGTAAACACATTCCTTCAAAAAAAGGAAGACTGAGTGCATAAGAAAATTCAGTTGCCAGAGCTCAGTATGAAAATATCATAAATTTAAGGCATCTTCTCGTATCTAGCAGCAAGTCACTCATTTCTCATTCTTCCAAACTTATTCTCTGTTCTGACTTTGGTATGCATTCCACTTATTCTTGCCTTATCTTTCAGCTGTCTTCACAGGTGACTATATTGCCCAACTTAGTTTTGTTTTCCTTAAACTATCACAACAGCTGCTCCAGGTTTATTAGGACCAGCCTCTGCTGACACAAACACCAATGGCAGCAGTAAAAAACAAAAAAGGTAGCAAACAACACAAAAAATCTCTAGGTTTTTCTAGAATAGACAAGGTCTTCTTTTTACTTATTTCTTATTGGTGGGAAATAAGTTGTGAATAAAAAAACGTACCATTTACAGTGCTACTGAGGAAGCTGTTGGGAACTAAAATAATTTAAAGCTGACTTACAAAACTCAGGAGGATGTTAGCAGATGTCACAAAAAAATACAAACCAAACATGCAGGCTAGCATCTCTCTCATAAACTCTTATGTTCTCTGTCACATTCTGAAATACAGCTTCAATTACGCATCATAAGCATGTACAGAAACAGCTGCTTTGTAGCAAAACTTGAGAAATTACGTTTGAGGGTAATAAAGGACCACCCATCCAATGGTTGAAAGTGTTATAACACTGTGGACTTCATCATGTCGCAATTGTAAAACTTTGACATCGGAAAACTAGGTCATAGTCACAGGTTACACCTCTCTCAGAATTAGCAACGACACAGCTGTGTAGCCTGTACCAGAGGCCAAAATAGTTTCAGTAAGAAGTGGAATTAGAGAAACATAGTTTTCATAAGATTCATGTTTTGTAGCTGGCTTCCCTGGAAATAAACTGAAGATTTTTCCCATTTTGAACATACTCATACACTCACATAGGAAGGATTCCTACTAAACTAGTACAGGTTGAGCTCCCACTGAAGCCCATCACTCGTGGAAAAGGTCTTCTTCCACAAAAATTTTAGGAAGTTAAGGAGACTGACACCCCTTACCAGACTGTTGAAATAGGCTTTGGCTATGAAAGAAGACAGGGAGGCATAGAAAATCCCCCCACATATGCAGACAGAATGCTGGAATAAATGTTTCCCTGGAACAGCAGGCTGGACACATATAAACAGGTTTTATTAGCGGTTGCTCTTACCAGTTACTGCTGCTGAGGTGTATGATCCAGCTGCTAGCTGTTTGATCTTGTGCTGGTTGGTAAAAAACCTAATTAAATGAAAGAAGACAGGGAGGCATAGAAAATCCCCCCACATATGCAGACAGAATGCTGGAATAAATGTTTCCCTGGAACAGCAGGCTGGACACATATAAACAGGTTTTATTAGCGGTTGCTCTTACCAGTTACTGCTGCTGAGGTGTATGATCCAGCTGCTAGCTGTTTGATCTTGTGCTGGTTGGTAAAAAACCTAATTAAATGAAATGTGGTCCTTTCCTCTGTGTCACCTAATCCCAACTGACCTTCACTGTTACCTCCAGCAGCATACACATTTCCTTTTTCTGCATACAGAAAAGCACATGTAATACACAGAATGAAGACATTCTCATCAGTGGTAGAAAGTCAGAGAAACTGGAGCAAGTAATTTAATTTTCAATGTAAAAACATCACAGAAAAGTTGTGGTCTACTGCCCTGAACTATCCTCAAGTTGAAATGAGCAGTTGCTGTTGTAGCTAGCAAGGAGGCTTTCACGCACATGCTTGTTTCACTTTTCTTCCCAGGGAGGGTGGTGAAGTACTGGAACAGGTTGCCCAGAGAAGCTGTGGATGCCCCATCCCTGGAAGTGTTCAAGGCCAGGCTGGACGAGGCTTTGAGCAACCTGGTCTAGTGCAAGGTGTCCCTGCCCATGGCAGGGGGGTTGGAACTAGATGGTCTTTAACGGCCCTTCCAACCCAAACCATTCTGTGATTCTATGATTCTATGACTGGATCAGACCTTTCTAAAGGCCTTACATGTAGGTAGATGAACTGCATTTCCCACCATCCTGGAGACTGATCTAAAAAGCAAATATAACCAGAAGTTCTGCAAGAGTTCTGAGAAAAAGACTACTAGTAGCCCTGGCAGACAGAAGAATCTCCTTCCCCAGATAATGTATATTTTAAGATAAAGCAGTAGGAAAATGGTGAAATGATGTTACGAGCAAGAAAACTGAAGTCGTATTAGTACATAAAGAGATGCATAACATGATAGTTTAGAGTGCCGTGAATGAAATATGCTTTTGCTTAGGTTTTTATTAGAAATATTTGAGTAATTTTAATATTTAAATCACATTTGATTTAATTAACGAGGCCTTTATTTTGGTTTAGAATCTTAAAATTGATGTTAAAGCTAATGATAGATATCGTCAACTTAAGAGAACATTTAGATTTGTATTTTTAATTTTAGTATGTTTCGCATATAAAGTGCTCATCTATGATGAAAAAAGATAAGGCCCATTAATAACACAAATCCAGACACAAATGTGATAAGCAACTGACACACAATTTATAAATGGTCCTTGCTATATAAATGGCCACAAATTAGCTAGCAGGGTGTACACTAAAAGTGACTAATATTTACCCTGTGCAGTCTTGCATACTCAATGGTTATTAAAATGTTCCGGTTTATTCTAATAGTCTTATTTACAGTGCTCAGGGTTTCCCCATACATGAAGCTAATAATCAAACAATCCTCTTTATAACATTATGGCAAGGTAAAGGATTGCAGCCACAAAGATGGCTATTCCATTACATAAATTTTAGAAGCATGACAAGAATTTGCATCAATTCTCTGTATACTGTCTCTCTAAAAATTTATTTTTAGTTGAAATTTACAGTTTATTTATTTATAGCTTAATAAAGCAACTTGTAATCGAAATAGCAGACAACCGTGTCTAACCAAAAAGCAACAAAATTTGAAGACTTGAAAACATTCAGTTCTACTATATTTGCTCAGATATATAACTTCACACTAATAAAGATAAATCACTTGTCAAAGGTAAATTTGAGTACAGATACATAAAAAATATTAATATACCTCTGTAGGGCTTAAATGAAATATTGATAACTGTTAACCACACCTCAAATGCCAGCAAGAAATTTTTCCACCTCTCTATTGCTAGCAAACTCCTATACAACATTATTTTATAAATGCATTGGCTCAGAATAAATCAAGCATTCAAAGAACTGGATATCAAATCCTAAAGTTTTAACAGTCCTGCTTTCGTTTATTTTTGCTTCCTCAAAACTCCTGGGGTTCCTAATGTAATTTTGTACGAAAGCAAAGGAAGAAATCTATCTTTAAATACGTATATAATATAGGTTACATACCTGTGTAAACTAAAGTGTGGTTTCTTCCACAAACAGCAAGTTTTGTTTTCTCTGGTTTTAAAGCTATGAATTAAAACCAAAGGGGGGGAAAAGTTATAAACAAACTGATAGCTGGTTCAATGACAAAATGATCTACGCTCTAGAGGGAGCTCTGATTTTCTTCACATTTTTACCAACAGAATGATTACAAGATTCAGTGCCCATTTGATCTGAGCACATGACTTAATGTATCAGGATTCCCTGAAGAAAACAGATACAGGCCTTTAAAAATTTAACAGCCGACACTCAGGTTAACTTGATGATGGCTACTTCATCCCACTGCCACATGCCCCAGAATTTGTCATTTATGGGATATGCCTCAAAGTATTTATCAGGTTGCAGAACAAAACGCATGCTTAAAGCGGTCTTCAGTTTTCATTAACATTACTGTTCTCAACTCCCTCTGATGCTTTTCCCACTACCTTAAATCTTTACAATCATGCTGTTCTTTTGCCTTATCATCCCTATCTCCCTTCTTTGTGCATGGCTACCTGTTTTGCTAGACTTCTGCTCTGCACAGCCGTCTTATTGATCAGTAAACTCAATTGCTAAGGACAGTCGTATCTGGACGAGCACCTAAAATATTTGCATATATCATCCTGTCTCCATTTCAACTCAATTGCCAACACTCGTTGAGTGTACTTCTCTTCAGTCTGGTCACTGTGAAAGACAGGGAATGTATGTGAGAGGAGTCAAAGAGTTATTTTGCTGGGAGAGAATACAGAGGTGGTGCCACACCAAAGCCAACAACCATAATCCCTTTCATAAACCCTTTTTCAGTCCTTCCAAATGAACTTTCAGCAGGTCCATAACATTAAAGCCCCTTCTACCAAGTCACTGAATAAATCTATCTACTGAAGCATGAACTGTCTCTGGTCTATCACACAGACACAAACATAAATTGTCCAAATTCAGGTTCCTGCCTATCCTATCCAACACCTACTACTACCACCTGGCTGGAACCATAACACTTTCAATGTGGTTCTCTTCATACAACCTTAATTTGCTGCTTTATATCCCAAAACTCTGTCTCCAACTTCAGAGCTAATCCTAATCAGCTCTTCAGAAGCCTGTGCTCCCTAACCTTCCTCCCACTTAACTTATCAATTGTATCTGATGAGCCATGCTATATTCACAATGTTGCTGGCAATTTTTCATAACCAATTTCATTAGTCTCTTGTCAAGTCCCAGAAGAGTCTCTCAAAAAACATGCAGCCACAATCATTTGTCCCCAGGCAGAAACTGAGACGTGTCCTTACAATCCTATTCCCAAAGACAAGGGATGACTGAAAGCTAGTTAGAAAAGCTCCAGGACTTTCTTCCGCTGCCTACTGCCAAGAGAAGAAAGATACCCCCCTTGCAACTTTTTTTCAATGGATGGCACATCTGGTCTGAACTGCTGTCATCTTCTCTTCGGCTTTTATTCTCCATTGCAATTTGGCAGTAAAATCAAAACTTGACACCCAAGCCATGTAGCCAAGCCAAGGTAAGAACCAATCTCCCACATGGCTGACAGAAGATGTGAACCTGAGAGTAGCTGCATTCTCCCTCTGAAGTGAAATAGAGAGAGGAGCAGATAAAGGACAGTAGAATAAACCAAATCAGGAAGAAAAGAGTTTGAACAAACAGAATAATTTGTTTTTAACAATAACCTAACAGATCGATCTGCAGAGAGAAAGGATGAGGATAAACATTCGGTGGTGAAAAGAAATGGGTTAATGGGATAGATCTGACTTGACACAAGTGAGGGGGTAGGGAAAAAGTATTGACTTAGTTTTGTTTGACCAGATAAGACCAGCTAGGAAAGATCAAGAAGATAACAGTGCCACGAAAACATATTTTATAATGCATGAAAGAATACAGGCATTTATTTTACTGCCTCATACAAATATTAACATTTATGTCCCCTCAGGCACTTCTTGCTAACAATGTAGCAGTACTTGTAGAAAGTTCCTGATAGATTTAGTTCATTTATAAAGGTGCTAAGACAAATGTGATATAAAGGTTACACAATGCTGTTGGAACTTTGATTTCTAAGGCAGAGACAACAAACACTGCAGAGACCAAGCACCTGATTAATGTCTTTGCAGTCACAATGAAGATGTGGTTTGTCAGAATAGGCAAATATTACATAAAAAGAAAGTCCTCGGAAAAGACAGGATTTTATGTATCTGAAGTAATCTTCAGATATAAAAGGACCCAGAATTTGGAGCTGTTGGAAAATCAAGCAGGGATCGTTTTGAGCTACTTTTATGAGCTGTTACATTAATGCGCTACACACGATGACTCAAGAAGGCAGAATCAGTTATTTTGGAACTGCATCTTATAAAGTACCTTTTCACAAGGGTCTCCTTTCAAAAAGACAAAAGAAGAGAAATTAAACCAACCTTTAACACATGTTGGTTTGCTGACAGTGTTCTTTGATCCCAGTCCTAGCTGGCCCCAGTTGTTACTGCCGAACATGTATAGTTTACCATTCCCTGAAAAAAAAATGAACAGTCAGAATCCATACAAGTGTCTGAATACTTTATACAAGACAAGATGGTCATTCACACACTACGCTATTTATTACTTCCTTTTTAATCTAAGGTTTAAGATTAGGCAATTCAATACTTAAGTGTAAACAATAATTAATGTCCTTGTGGTTTTTCAGTACAAAAGTAGTAATTAGACCGTAAGAAACACTACATACTAAGAAATCTCCAGCCAGATGAAGGGACAAAAAGCAGAACAAACATCCTCTCTTTTAATTACAGCACAGATAAAGTGCACTTCAGAAAATATTGGACTCTTGGACAGACCCTGAAGTTCTGAAACTACATTATCTATAAGCCTATTTATAACAGCACATTTAACTGAGCACCGATATCTTTTACCCTAAAGACAGGAATGAATAATGCAGCCATATAATTAATACAAAGACAAATTTGCAGTATTCAGCGTATTTGGGGGGTGTGTGTGGTGTTATTTCTTTTACTGCCAAATGTCTTCTCTTAAAATTATTTACAAATTTGCACTTCTGAAGAACAGTTTCTGATAAATTTTCAAATGTGTTCACAAATTGTACTGATTAGTTACTCTGCATCTAAAGAAGGAATGCATAAAACCACCATGCAGGCAGGGAGTCTTGTGAACCTAAATGCAAACATTAGATTACAAATCTTCAACAGGAGCAATGCCAGAATCCTATTTCAGAAATGGGTATGATGTGTCACAGAATGTGCAGGTTGACCATTATAATGAATAGTTGCAATTCTGAATGACCAGAGTTTTTTAAGAGGATGGTATATGAACAGATGAAATTTTTGTCATCAGGTATGCAAATTAAATATCCCAAACTGACTACTGTCAATACCTTAAAATGAATTCATTTAATTTCATTTCATTTTTTAAACTATTACTTTTTGTAAAGCTGTGAAGTTCACAACCAAAGATAAAACCCTGGTCCCAACAGAAATCTTTGCAAAACAATAGAAATGGATTTGTCAAAAAACCAAAACACCAACAAAAAAACAACAAACTTCACTACAGTTAAAGGCAGTTTGTTTACTTTTGATGAAGGTCTGCAGTGCTCTGTGAGTTAGACTCCATCACAAGGCTGCCATGTAAATAAACTTTGAGCCCAAGTCATCAAAAGTTACCACATGACGGCAACGCATAACAGCAATTCCACATAATACTGCCAAAATATTATGGCTGTTCGTACTTCAATAGTGTAGGTTCCCATTGAAGGTTCTGAATGTGATTTACAAAGACTTTGAAATATATTGAAAAGTTTAAAATATAACAAGAATACTTACTCTGTTAAAAAAATCTATTAATTTTCTTAAATATAACCACATGGTTAAAAAATCCCACAAACCACCAACAACTAACAATAACTAGTATCTAAAGCCCCAATCAAATTGTTAGATTTGACAGTTCTTGGAGCCTGGGGCTATGTGTCAACATTATGTCATTCCAAGAAAGCTGGAAGGGAAGAAAGTCTGAGGTCAAGCCTCCACTCATGGTGTTTTACTAATAGCATTTACATCACCATCCCAATTTTGATAATGCAGTCACGTGAAAACACACGAACTCTCTGTCACCGAGAGCAAAACGCATCTTAACAGAAAGAACTACTAGCAAATGGCATCCTATATTGGCATGTTTCCTTGTATCCTTGGTTTACACTTTTTAGCTGCCTTTATAGGACAGTTTGTTCCTGTGGGAATATGATGCACCAAGCATCTTTTATCCATTCAAAATCCCAGGAGATCATGCTTTCCATCCTATAATCTTATACCAGTCTTTAAATTCTGAGGCATTGCTTTTTAAGCCAAGGAGATGAATAGATGAGAGGAAATTTTTTACACTCTTTTACAACTAGGTGACAGCCTTTTATAATTTCAGACTTCCAACACTTGGCAGTGTAAGAGAAAATAAGACAACCAGGAAGCAGATAATTGAGACAGTGAATGAAAACTAATAGGCACTACAGAGGAACCTGAACAAATGCCTGTAACAAAGCAACATTCCTGGGTCTGTACAGCAGATCAGGGTTTGGAACAGACATGATGCAATCTAAGCTGGCCAGGAAATGACAGAACTTTGTGGGTGAAAGGCCCTATTTTCCTAAGTGCATACTGAGATATCTCCAGCCATCACCACAGATGCACTGAAGCGAGAACTAGTTCACCAGCAGACAAATAGGCAATGATCCTATTTCAAACCTTCAGATTGCTCTTGGTGTTTTTTGCTTCTAATTTGGTGCTGACATACAGAGACTGTGGCCATCTGTCATGGCTGGCAGAGCAAGATCATGACTCTGGGCAGCAGAAGGGAAACGAGCATATAAAGAAAGGGACTACTCGAACTGTTGTGGTGATGAAAACATACTTCCAACACCAGTCTCCACCTTCATCCTGATGCAAGCCTGGAGTATTTCTCCAAAGTACGTATGCGTTGGCTTATCACCAGCAGATGTTTCACCAGGTATTTAGGGATATTAGGGAAGCCACAAGATGTTTACATCTTAAGGAACAGAGGTTTTTTTGAGAGACTTCAGGAAGAGAGCGTCTCCTAAGCAGTACGCTTCTCATAGGAGTAGCTGCTATCACAACCGTGATGCATGGGAATGCCATCTGTCACGTGCTCCCCTGGTTCATGAAGCACTACTGCAGGCATTCTTTCAGCAGCTGCGAAACACCAGCTGAAATCCTCAACATGCTTCCTGATAACAGCAGGCAGCCAAGTATTCCTGTTGTTTATGATTAAAGGTGTGTTTTACACATTCCCCCTCTTGCTTCCTAGATTATATTAGTGTGAAAGGAAAATAAAGTGGAGAGACAAGGCACAGACTTTAAGCATGTATCACAAGTTTCTCCTGAGAAGCTGTATCTGAAGAATAAGTAAAAGGGAATATTTTCAACAGAGTATCACATGCCAGGCATCGTGATTTTTTTTAATTTATTTGTGCTATTTTGTGGATAAACTACATTAACAGTTCATTTAAAATTCATATACAATTCAAATACATCACACGAAAATGGGAATGACATCAGTTTTGCCAGGTAAGTCACACTATTCTCAAAATAAAAGCTTTATTGAGCAATAACAGTCACACTTAGGACACTTAGCATCACACAAACAGAAACAGCGTAGTATTTTGCTTGCTCCTACACATATCAAAGATCACCACAAACGTATACTAATCTTCCTCATTTTCCCCTTGCAGTTGATGCAAAAGAAATTGTGCCATGTTCTGATGGCCTGCTGGTAGGCAGAAAATAGAAGGAATCTGGTGCCCAAAGACCTGGAGATATTCCAAGGTCTCTTTGGTGTGAATTGTTGAAGGTTTAATGCCTTACAAAACTCCAAATTATGAGCATACTATCTGGTTGTGGTTGCATATGCATCTCTTTTCACTTCTACTTTTACACTTGATACTTCTTTCTTTCCTTCTGCCCTCTTGCACTGGGGGCTTCAATTCTCTCCAGAGTTCTGAGTTCAGAAAATGTGTCTTCCATCATCACCATTTTCCCCCTTGAGAACAGGATTGGTTTCTTTGCTCAAACACGGGCAAGCTGCCTAGGATACTCTAATCAAGGCAAATAAACAACAGGACAGCTGTTAAGTTTAAGAGTTTTGGAAAAAAGAAAATTAATAGAAAGGTATTGGGAGGAGATTCTTAAGAATATGTGTAACATCACTTACTTCACACCAGCTCCCAAGAGAATGAATACATTGCTTTCCAAAGCCTGCAGTTACAGAAGATGCAGGGAGTGAACTGTCAGTATTCTTGGGCCAAAAAATAAAGAAGTGGGGCAAGAAATATTATTAAGCATATACACAAGCGATGCGGGAAGATATACTGCTCATGACTGCGTTAAAGAACTAAAGACAACTGCTTAAAATATCTTCTGCTTCAATATTTTAACGAAGACTGTTCTAAAAGTAGAGAGCAAATGAATAAAGAAACACAAATTTCAATCCCAAACTCTGAAGCTGGAGAAGGGAATGTTTTTCCGACTAGCTCAGCAGGCCAACTCAAATTCAGCAAGTAACTGTAACTGGTCCTTTTTATTCCATCATATAGCCACAGTATGTAAGCAAAATTTTGGACTCCTGACCTAGAAAGCCAAAGAACAGTGGTTTATATTTGATTTACAGTTTTCTTCCTAAAAGTCATATGGGAATATTAATGCTGAATTAGATTAAAGACATATTTGAAAATTTCTGAATGTTTTGTTCGAATGCTAAATATTAGTTCCTGTACATTTTCTTCATTTGCCTTCAGTCACGATTCAGTGCCAGATGTAGCTGCCCAACCAGGTTTAAGGAATGTTCTTGTATCAGTTTGGGTGAACACTTATGATTGTTGAGACATGTTAGTGTAAGACAAATGTATTTCTATTAAATTTGAATTCCACCTCATATTTCCTCTGTCGCCTACATACATAGGTCCCACTACCTCTTCCAGGGGATGGGAAAAAACAAAGGAAGGGGGAACTGTGTGACCTGGACATAAAGACTGAAAATAAAATGAAGCATGCACGAACACACACCTGCTTGAGATAGTCCTCCTTCCTCAGTGATGTTTGTCTTTCATCTCTTCCAGGTCAGGTTCAGCTGGGTTTCAAGAAGCTCCTGGTTTCCCACAAGGTCCGTACCCTTCCCCGTAAATTCATTATCAGCGTGCACTTCTGGAGCTTTTATTCCGGTTGTTACTGCAGCTCAATGTCATACACCAAGGGCTGTAATTCCACTGTATTCCAACTCCATCTAACAGCAGAAATGCGAGGTGCACACGGGCATGCACAGGTGTGAAGAACAAATGGGGGACAAAGATTTTCTTTTTCCCTTCTTCACCTTTTTGTACGACTCTGGCAGTTTCTCTACCTTTGCTCGTTGTTGATCAGTATTTTACCCTCCCTTTTGCCTCTACTTTTCAATGCCCCAAAAAGCCTCTTAGTACCAAAGAAATTTTGTACTCGTGCTTCCACAGTTCCTTCTCATCAAAAGCTTTGAGAAAATAAAGATATAATTATCTAAAAGTTGCCCTGGTGACGTATCTGCACACTACAAGAGGAAAGGCCAGCTACAGAGATGTTTTTGAAACATGCTGCGTATATTAAGGTAACAGGGAGAAGGGGAGGCAGTGGAGAAACAGTGCTGCAAGCAAATCTATGCAAGTTGACCTCTTCAAAAGCGTTATGTAAGTGGCCACTACCACAGTGACACAGGAATTAGGGGATTGCTGCTGATGAGGTTAACTGTGCTGGCACAGGCATATGCTGAGGGAACTCTAGGAGGCAATTAAAACTGGCTAGTCTAAACTGAGAGTTATACTAATATTATTTCAAACTGGGTGTGGGCATACAAAAGGATATATAAACAAAACCTTTCAAAAGGAAAATTTGACAGTGCCCCACAGGTTACATTCTGATGACTTTTATCCAACAGGCAATTGTTCACCCAATAAAAAAAATGACAAGTCTTGTTCAAAATAACTATTCGTGGATAATTCCTCTTCTATGAAGTTAGGCTTGAAAAATTAATAGTCTAATTTCACCTCAAGATGTTCTGCAGTCCAAGAAAACTATACTCTTTTTCTACCTGTCTGGAATAGTTCATTCTAAAAATCCAGCATTTTCAACTTTGAGGACATAGCATGAAACCCTCAAGAAATTCTTTAATGGGCAATGACCAATTGGGCACTGATGAGAAATAAATACATTCCAATAAAAAAAGTTTTGAAAATATACATATAAATTTCATAACATGGTCTTATTGTCTATCAGCAGTTGATTGTCAATACAATCGATATACATGCTCATCAAGAAAAGAATAGCCCCTTCCACGTAAAGTTGAACAAATTCTTCAATAAGTATTGTTTCCATTGTTTCAAAGAAATGAAAATAAACATTAATACTGCTCACTGTACTGCATCTGAGCTTCTTTGAATGTTTTTGCAATTTAGTTCTGCTTTTAGTAGGGTTTTCTGAAGTTTTTTGACTTGGTCTGTCAAGGGTTATTTTCAGTTGACAGTTAACAGTAATTCAAATCATTTCAGACTTACAGTCGTGTCTATTGTTTCAGGCAGATTCCTAGTGAACTTGTTGACTGTGTTCAACAGATACTGTTTACTCACACAATACAAACCTCTGCATTTAAGACTGCCTACTAAACACTGTCAGATTCACAAGAAACAAGGTGAGCAAAGTCAGGCTTACTTTAAATCCTGTGTGAAACATTTTTATTACACATAACCTCCAGTTCTTGGGCATGTCTTGTGAAAAACACACTAACTTCAAAGGCGTCCGATAGTTCCCACAGAACAGTCCTCTCTCCTCTCCACAATCTCATTAGATATATTACTTCAGGATTCAAATAAGAATCACAACTTTCCAAGCTGTCCAAATATATCATATATTCCATTTCCAATACTGACCTGTAACAATTGCGGTATGTTCGTCTCCACATGATATAAGCACAGGCTTGTCATTTTTGAACCAGAACTTGCTAGGAATATCTTCTGCAAATTTGCTTTTTCCAAATGTGAAAACAGCACCTGATTCTAAAACACAAAAAAGATAACGTAGATTTTAGTGAAAACAAATTTTGCCTCATAGATTTTGAAGTAGTAATTTTCTATTCAATTGCATATTTTAGTTTCCTATCTTTTTCTTTCTTTAATTAAAAAAAATGGCTGCAGTGTTTTCTTCTATTCTGTTTCACCAAGACTACTTCATTTCCAAGCTCACATTTTAGTCCTCTTGATTTGACCTTTTACAAGGGCCTGTAGTGACAGGACAAGGGGTAATGGGTTTAAATTGAAAGTGGGGAGGTTTAGATTGGATATCAGGAAGAAGTTCTTCCCAGAGAGGGTGGTGAGGCACTGGAACAGGTTGCCCAGAGAAGCTGTGGATGCCCCATCCCTGGAAGTGTTCAAGGCCAGGCTGGATGAGGCTTTGAGCAACCTGGTCTAGTAGAGGGTGTCCCTGCCCATGGCAGGGGGGTTGGAACCAGATGGTCTTAAGGGCCCTTCCAACCCAAACCATTCTATGATTCTGATTCTTAGCATCCATGAATTTCCTAATAGAATAGGTGTTGATGCTGGTATATTGTGTTCTGAGCATATGATGATTTATTTATCTATGTACTTTATCACTACCTTCCAAGAAAAACTACTAGGTGCGTAAAAGAACAAAGAACTCTGAATAACTGACCCCAGAAAGGAAAATAAAAAGCTTATCCCGAAAGCAGTTTGAAACAGAGTTCTCATTTTCGTTTATACCAGAATTCAAACAGGTTTTCCAAATTGTATTAGAAAGAGACACACATGCTGTAAAGAGGTGACAGGCTCGAACCTGACCACTCTTCCTCGCCCATCTGAAAAGATACATGTCCTCTGAAACCCGAGCCCCTAAAATCAAAACTCTCAGCCTTGAAAACATGGGTTGTCACGACTGTCTTTGATCCTAAGACCGTGATCTAAAACACCCAAACCAAACCACCCCAAAACAAAAGTCCAGACAGCTCTTCTGCCCTTGTATTCTGTCCAGTTTTCTCAATTTTTCCCACTTTCAAAAGTGTCAGCAATGTTGTTTTAAAACATAGAATGTTAACTATTCACTCACCTTTTGGTTAAGCATGTGGCTTGGCACAGAAAAATAAATCAACTTACAGGTTAAATAATTTACCAAAAGCCATGCAGACAATGTGAGGAAGCACAATTAGTCCTATTTTAAAATGTCAAACCTTGTGCTTTAAGTAGAGAGTAATTTTTTGGTAAAGAAAACAAACAAACCAACCCCAACCTTTTTTTTGCAGACTTTTTGTTAACAGGTAAACTGTGATAACACAAATACACACAGTAACACTAGACGGCTTCTGTAAAATTGCATGTAATTTCATAGGAACATTGAAGCATCTTCATGTATTTACCCTCAATGAAACCAATCTCATCAACAGTCTGCACCCCAGATCCAAAACTCCTTTAAGTTTTCCCTTGAATTTGATATTCATTTTGAAATGATTCTTTAATGTAAATGTTTTCCATATTTGTAAATGACATGTTATTTTATGTATGAGGTTCAGAAGAAGTCTATAAAATTGTATTTATTACCCCTGTAGATGTGTTTCCCTTTCACTGCTTTATTAGAAACAAGCCTTGTGCAGATGAATTCAAGCTCTTTAAAGAAGGCGTTGAGTTTTTTCCTCATTTTACGCAGAGACACCTACAAACACAGACATACTAAAGCGCATCAGAAAAGTCTACTTTAAGTTTTAATGTCCAGCCAGACAACCATGCTGCATGTTCCGACGTGCTTACAGTGATCTCTTTGGCACTCCTGCCAATACAGCCCTCTCTGGTTCATTTCTTTGTCATTCAGAAGCACTAACATGAAAAGATACGTATTCTTAACTCAGTGCATATGAAAAGCAGATAATTTAATTCACAAAAGTCCTTCACACCTCATTGGTTTCACAACTGAAACCTAAGTCAGTTTTAAAACTAAATCCTACCAATTCATAAAATCCCAGGGAACACAAATGAGGTTTTGGCTGTCTCGGCGCCGAGCAAACGTTTAAAAATTACGGTAGGTCAACCTACGGACCAAAACGCACTTACTAACTGACAATAAAAAGTCTGCTTAACACTGACGACAGCCAGGTTGTCGCTGTCTGGTCTCTGACGTCAGCGTGCGTATTTCCCCCGGGCGCCGGAAGACACCGGCCCCAG